CTCTCAATATACAAAAACAAAGTATTTTGAAGAATATGTTACATACATAATTCACTACAAATAGTTACAAGTTACTGAAATAATATTTCGAGAAACTACTTTTTAAATTGCACACAGTCTAGATTTAACATAACAAGAGCTAACTCAAAATAACGATTTTAATTTTAGCAATCATATTTAATGAAGTATTTATAAATTTCATGTTGAACTAGCTAGTAATTCGGCGCTTTGCTGCCAAAGATAAAATAATTGTGGAAATATCGTTCTAGGAAGAGTTATATTGTTTACTTAGGAATGATAATACATTGTAGTTCAATGATATTACTTTAAAATAAATTTATCAGTACGATACACGCGCCACCTACTGTAAGTTAATTGTACTATGCCTATAACCTTCGCGCAAGTGCAAGCAATAAGTTGACAATGTTTTAGCGCAATCTGATGAATGGTATGGCACCGCATAAATACAAATATTAATTTTTACATAATAGATAATAATAAATAATTCATAGATCGTAACTCGTAGGCTATTTCACCAATTAACGAGAGATCATTTTTACATCTGAATATTCCACGAGTCACAGGCTATTTACTTCTTTATCGTAATCAGTTTAAAGTAAAAATTTTAAAAATGAAAAAGAAAAAAAACATAGATGACATACTCAGGGTTGCCATATTGTATTGGATACAAAATATGTGTTTATTATATCTTCTGTCTGTATAGTAGATTATCTTGTAAAAATGGACACAAAAATACGAATACCAATGTAAAATAAACTTTGTGATAGTTAAAATATCGCTTTTAGATGAATTTAAGTTGGAGTGGTGTTGTAGTTGCGTAGGTTTTGAGGAAATGAAGCAGATGTGGGCTAGCGGGGCATGTGACCCGCTTCTTCGCATCTACTCCTGCTTGCTCTTGCTTGCTGGTAATATGATAATATTACCGTCTGAACCGACATGTCAGTGGCAAAGCTCATTGGCGGTAAAAACATGGATCTACATTTCTGCACTACATGTAACCTTACTGTCCGCAATGTTATATCCGAGGCCAAACCACAGGCAGTATAATTAAGTACGTATTGGACATTAGTTACGTAACTTACGTAGGTATTAGTTGTTGCTGCAGTTACGTAGTACTGTTATTTATTCTGAGCTGCAGTGTGTTATCATCACAAATTTCTTGGAACGCTAAAAACCTATATCTTATTTACTGAACGTGCATAATTACAAGCCTTGGGAGACAAGGAAATAAAAAGAATTCCAATATATCAAATAATTAATTCGCTAGGCGATTAATATAAGTTATCAATTTTTAAACTTAAACTTTTTAAGTCTGACCTAACGAAACGTGCCGTGTGCCTGATTTCGCGAATTAAGTAAACCGTGATAAGCAAATCCATCAACCGGTTGAAAAATATGGGAAATGCCAAAAATATCTTATGACTTCCGACAGATGGCAGTATAACCATCTATTTACGGCATGCGTAAAATACCCGGACCGGCGCTGGGAAACAGACAAAAGGATACAAGACTGGTTCTGCGATCATCAATCTGGCTGCCAAGCGTGATAATTACGGCAAATCTTTCCTAGAAGGTAAAAGCCGAAGGGTGAGAAAGAGATGATGACGAAGAATTATGTAAGATTAAAAAATTCGCAATTGTTAGACAAAACATGAAGGAAAATCGCTCTTATCATTAAATAATTGATTATTGCAGCACCCACACTTTATACAATATGTAACACAAATCACGCATCTATACGTGGTAGAGCCATGCTGCAGCTATATTAGTAGTATAGTTGTAGCACGAATGGGTCGGCTCGACCGGGGAAGGACCACGCTCTCACAGAGTACCAGCGTAAAATAGCAGCTTAACACTGCTGTGTTTCGTATGGTGAGTGTAGAGAATCGGAGATCCTTTTTACTGGAAAAGAGGCATTTGACGACGCATCTGGTTTTGATTATTTATCGAGGATAGATGTAGATGTCTATGGGTTACCATCAGGTGGACTGTGTGCTCGTTTGTCACTCACTCCTATAATAAAAAAATATCTAAAATTACTTATTTCTTAAATGTGTACGTTGACGTTTGCGTTTGTCGTACTTTAATATACCAAAATTGTCTATAGTTTTGGTATATTAATCGATTGCTGATTCGATTTGTTATATGAATTTTAATCAATTTCAAAATCTACAATCGTATAATATAATATCTTTTTTATTATATTTTTTTTGTGTAAATTCAAAAACGCCCATGTACCGGACGATAAAATTACAATGTAGTAGTGCAAAGGGGCTCCAATAAGTACCTAAACAGTATATTACTTTTTTAATTGTTTATACACCATTTTTGTCACTTTAAGACGCAGACAGTTCAATGGCATATCCGCCCCGATTTGAAGCTGAGATAGATCATTATGAAACACAAACCCGGGATGATAACACTGCGGCGCGACAGTTAACTGACCAATAACTCTTCTTTCGGGCACCTCGAAGGTGTTTGAAAAGCTCTGTACAGGCAACTGAACAGACAGATCTCTAAATGCAACTTCAATACAGCTCGTATTGAAGGTGGGATGGAGCGGTTTCAGTCTTTACCAGAGATCTGTCCGCCAAAAAGAGCCAACTGTAGAAGCTGAAGACCGAGTGTGGCAGCTTCGTTTCCGGGACACCTGAGATTTTGAGTGAGATTGAGAGATTTTATGGGCAGCTGTACACGTCATCGTTGAAACCACACGCAAGTGTGAGTAACGATCCAAGAGCGAGTCTTATCCGACACTATTCCGATGATATTCTGGACGTTAGTCTGAGCGGAATTGAAATGGCTCTCCAGCACCTTAAAAACGGCAAGGCCCCAGGCGAGGATGGAATTACAGCGGAGCTTGTAAAAGCCGGTGGAAAACAGGTATTTGAAGTCCTTCAGAAGCTCTTTAATTCCGTCGTCCATGATGGCACTACATCGGAGGCGTGGAACAGAAGTGCGGTGGTCTTGTTCTTTAACAAAGGCGACAACGCTCTCTTGAAGAACTACAGACCGATTTCCCTTCTGAGCCACGTATACGTGCTATTTTCGAGTCATAACGAATCGTCTCGCATGCGGACTCGACGACTTCCAGCCTCCCGAAAAAGCAGGTTTATGAAAAGGCTGTAGTACCATAGACCATATACATACCCTCCGGCAAATTGTACAGAAGTCCGAAGAGTACAATTTGCCACTATGCCTGGCGTACGTGGACTATGAGAAAGCCTTTGATTCCGTCGAAATTTGGGCAGTTATGCAGTTCCTCCAGCGGTGCCAAGTTGACTGTCGGTATATCGAGTTGCTGAAGTGTTTGTACAGTAGGGCTACGATGGCGATCCGAGTACAGAACCAGAGTAAGAAGCCTATCAAACTGCAGAGGTGTAAGATAGGGTGACGTTATATCCCCGAAACTCTTCACCACTGCATTGGAAGACGTTTTCAAGCTACTGGACTGGAAAGGGTTAACATAAACGGCGAGTACATCACTCACCTTCGATTTGCCGACGATATAGTCCTTATGGCAGAATCACTGGAGGACCTAAGCACTATGTTCGATGACCTCAATAGTGCCTCCCAACGGATAGGTCTTAAGATAAACATGGACAAAACAAACATCGTTCGATCGAGTAGTTGTTGGGAGCACTAAGCTAGAAGTTGTTGACGAGTATGTTTACCTGGGACAAATAGTCCGACTAGGTAAGTCCAATTTCGACCGAGAGGTCAATCGACGGATTCAACTCGGCTGGGCAGCGTTCGGGAAATTACGACACATCTTCTCGTCAAGCATACCTCAAAACATGAAAACGAGACTGTACAACCAGTGCGCGTTGCCAGTGATGACCTATGGAACTGAGATGTGGTCCTTCACTGCTGGCCGTATGAGGAAGCTCAAGGTGGTTCAGCTATGGAGAGGGCTATGATCGGGGTTTCTCTGCGTGATAAACTTAGAAATGAGGATATCCGCAGTAGAACCAGAGTGACCGACATAGTCCAACGGATTAGTAAGCTGAAGTGGCCATGGGCCGGCCATATAGCTCGAAGAATCAACAACCGATGGGGAAAAAAGGTTCTTGAGTGGCAGCCTCGTACCGGCGGGCAAAGTGTAGGGCGTCTCCCTAATAGATGTAGTGACGACCTGGTAAGACATTAAGGAAGTCGATGGATGCAGGTGGCTCAGAACCGTGCTTAGTTCCTTGGGGAAGGTCTATGTTCAGCAGTGGACTTGCGAAGGGCGGTAATGATGATGATGACTACATGGTAAAAAAAATCCTGATAATAATAATTAATTATAATTACACTGCTAGAGTACACCTGATTATTCAATAAAAATTGGGACTTTTTTTACTACACTGAAATTTAATTTCATAGATGTTGGTTGTTAGGCACACGTAACTTAGTGTTGACCCTACAGTCGCACCATCTGGCTTGTCTTTTTCTACAATCTGAGATGGAATTAAATAGATGCAAAGGCACAGAGCTATTTTGAAATGAAAGTAATTGTCTTGTATTTATTAGGTTATAGTCAAATACGAATGAAAGAATTGCTATTAAATAGCTTATTTGTTAAATTCTATGAAAGAGGTATTGCATTTATACATAAATAAAGTTACAAGAAAATATTAATTAACAACTTTTATTCTAACTTCCACTTTTGGTATATATACTTTAATAAATTAAAAATAAACGTTTTGGAATGATCGTTATTGTCTTATAACATAATACTACATAAACTCCTTTCCGGTTGCAACCTTTTTGGCTTGATCAAATAAAAAAAATTAATGCACTAGTGAGAATTTTTTTCGTCGAAACAGTTGTACTACATTCACAATATTTTTTGACAGGTGTCACTTTATCTTAGTTTAATTTACATTAATGCTATAACACCATAGACTAGGAATAACAGTGTTCACACATCAAACCAAGTGCGCTCAGACTTGCAAGTAATTTCTACTGCAGAGAAGGCAAACAGCTTGAACCTGCTACGTCGGCTCATCGGATGACATGAGTGCTTCAGATTCTTCGTCCAACTCCGCTATATTTCTTATAGTCCTAATAATGAAAAATAAAAATATTAAATATAACAAATAATGGATATATTATATAGAACCCATACAGAAAAAAGAAACATTTTTTTTAATTCACGCCATCTAGTGTTCAATCTTCGTAAGCGTTCCCTACGTTAGGAAGTCAGCCACGTCTGTGTGTGTAAACGACACTATATTCAATGACAGATGTTATTATAGGGCTTTGTGTCGAATCGTGTGGATTTTAAGGCAATGATATGACCAAGTACAGTAAAGTATAATGTCCGAGTACCGCGGGAGCTACTTCTACGACTTAATAATGTTACAATTACACAAAATACTAAATAAACTAAAAAATAATTACTTCAGTGCCATCACGCGGGAATATGACCGAGAGCAGACCGTATGTTTCACCTTAAGGGTGAAGGGTCTACACTTCTCGCAGTACCGAAGCCGTTGCAAAAGTAACTTTGGGTCAATATTCCAGTGTAAAAAAAGGAATTTTTGAGTATTGATATCTCGGAAAGTAAGCGAGATATCGAACATTTTTATTCTTACTTTTCGGCATATCTCATCGAGATCTATGCGATAGTCGTGCCCGCGTGGCAACTGTGGCAAATATGCCTCCTATGAGGGAAATCTATGTCCAACAGTGAAATTTTGTTAGACTGTAATGAATGATGAAAAAAACGTCCGCTGTTGAGTATGAGATACTCCCATTGTAGAGGATTTGATCTAATTCTCAAAATTGGCAGAAGGAAAGAGTACCCAGACGTTTCGTATCCTGGACGCCGCTTCCAGGCACCGGTCTGGATATTTCACATCAGGCTTATTCGAGACGTTACTGCTGTTCATAGGAGTTTGTAGTCTTTCTATCATTTTCTATAGTCATCTCTGAAGTCACGAGATAAAATAGTGTGATGAATCCCTTTTTTACATTGGGATTATGGATACCTGTTGCCTGTAAGCAATGAAGTCCGAATTGTTCGAAAATCGAAAACATTGTTAATCGGATTTTCAACAGTGTTAAAAATTCGGTTTTGAAATATAAATCCATAAATTATAGATTTTCTAGCAAACTTTAGTATATCTTAAAAAAGTCCACGACTACTTTGTGCAATCGTTTACCACAGGCAATTTTTCCGGACCGATACGACTTTGGAACCTGCAAGAAAAGAGCTTACTCCTTTTTAAACGGCCGGAAATGCACCTGAAATTCCCATGGTGTTGTTCATGGCCGGCGGTCGCCACTTACCATCAAGTGAGCCGCATGCTTGTTTGCCGTCTCTCCTATATAAAAAAAGTTATTTCATGACACTATCACTTTAATTTATGAATAAATAATACAATTACAAAAATGTAACAATCTTTTTTTTTTTAATTTTACATAACTGTACTTACGAGAAGCCCTCTGCTGCTCGCATACGTGTAGTTAGCCAGTCTAAGGGTGCTGACACACGAGGCAGTTCAAGCGCAGCCGTAGCCCAGCCGGCGCTAGAAAACAGCGCGGCTAAAAAACGCCACGCGCCCGCACTATACGTGCCGCGCCAGAACTCCACGCAAGCTCCGAGGGGGATACTTAACGCCAACATACTTGTGGCTGTCTTTGACGACGTTAGTGATCTGCCCCTGTTCATTTATTTAATAAGAACACAGCAACAGTATACGTAAGTATGTAATGTAATGTATGTAATGTGTATTGTATTTTTAATATTATTACATAATATTAAAATTTTCAGATTAGTAAGAATAGATAAAAATACATTGCTACTGAATGATTGATTAAATTTGTAATTTATTGTAATAGATTACATTATTGGTTTAAAACGTAGCAGCCTATACAGGTACATGTCCGTAGAAGTTCGACAGTATTAGCCTCCTACATCCTATACAGGGTTCAGAATAAGTAATATAGGCAAATGGTAAATATAAACTAATAAAAAAAATCTGGGGGATGAGTCGCTCGCGTCCGTAGGCTTCGACCACCTAATCCTAGGCCCACCCTACACGTGTCCCCCGGGTGGTGCTAAACGAGCGACAAAGCCGAAACGACAGCCTCGGCTCCTCGCCGTATGGTAGCGGCATAAAATCTACCACCCTTTAGTTCGCACCATGAGCCAAGAAGGAAAAGAAATGGCCCCGAGTTCCCGGCGCCCCTTTAATGGGGCAGGGGTGCGAAGAATCTCCGGGAGAAAAACCGGCGACGAGGTTCGCCACCCGTCACGTCCTGTCTCCCGGGGGGGCGAAAAGTGGATTGCGGAGGCCCGTCTGGCCACGCTGAATGTATGTGGAGCAATGAATGATAAGATGGATGAAGTATGCGAAATGATGAATGATAGAGGAATAGATGTGTTATGTGTAAACGAGACGAAACGAAAGGGAAGAGATGTCACTGCACATGGCATGTATACCGCTTACTGGTCTGGAGTAGACGAGACCGAGCGGGCATGCCAGGGAGTCGGTGTCATCCTTTCAGAAAGAATGGGTCAATGTGTGAAAGAGGATGAATGTGTTAGCCCAAGGCTGCTGTGGATACGAATGAAAGTGGGCTTAAAGAAGTTGTTTGTGCTAGGGGTGTACGCCCCAGATATGTCTAAGCCCACTTATATCCGAGAGCAGTTTTGGGACATGGTAAGGCTGGTGTTGATGAAATGTAAGGAAAATGAAAATATTATTATGTTAGGAGATTTTAATGGAAGGGTTGGGGTGAAGAGGTCTGGTTATGAAAGGATGTTAGGAACGTTTGGCGATGAAAGAATAAATGAGAATGGTGAAGACCTCCTCACCGTATGTGTGGAAAAGAATCTTTTTGTGGCGAACACTTTCTTTCGCCATAAGAGGATTCACATGTATACATGGGAAAGAGGGGATGATAGAAGCATGATAGATTTTATAATTGTGGATGAAAGAATGAGGAGCGCAGTGGTAGATACAAGGGTTTACCGGGGGTCCAACGTAGGGACGGATCATTACTTGGTCTTATGCCGAATTAATGGTCTATTCAGACGTTGGCGGCATCGGACATCGGTGTCTACCACTGCGTTACAGCGTATAAGAATAGAGAGGTTACAAGATGAAGGTGTGAAAGAGAAGTATAAATGCAGATTGAGGGAAAATATAAGTGGGTTGAATGAATTATGTATGAATGATTTAGAATTGAAGAATGTATGGAATAATATTAAGAAAGTTTTGGTGGATGCAGCCACCGAAGTATGCGGTGTAAGTAAGAGAACGAATGAAAGGAAAAGTAATACGTTGTGGTGGGATGATGAGGTACGGATGGAAGTTGAAGCAAAGAAGAGAGCATGGCTAGATTTACTAGCAACTAAAGCTGGTAATTCTGGCGGTATGAATGATGAGATTGAAAGAAAAAAGGCAGACTTTAGACGTATAAATAAGAGAGTAAAAAAAGTTGTTGAAAGGAAAAAGCAAGAAAGGATAGATAAGAATGATAGAAGGATATCTGATAACTTCCAGGCAAATATTAAAATGTTCTGGAAGCTCGTAAGAACTGCCAGGGGAAATTCAAAACAGCCTAGAATAAATGCTATACGAGACGAGAATGGCTGCATGCTGAATGATGAAGTTTCGAATTTAAAGAGATGGAATGGATGGAATACTTTGAAAGCGTGTTTAAGAGTGAAGAGTCGTCTGGAATAAGTGAAATAGAAATTCCGGAAGAAGTGGAGAGAGGTAGGGAGATAAGTGTAGATGAAATAATGAAAGCAATGAAAAGCATGAAAGCAGGTAAGGCAGCCGGATATGATAGAGTATCACTCGAAATGCTAAGGGCTGGTGATGGTGTGGTGACAGGCCTGCTGCACACCTTGTTTAATTTATGTTGGGAACTGAAACGGGTACCGGAAGACTGGTGCAAAGCCGTTATAGTCCCAATATATAAGGGAAAGGGGTCGCAGCAGGACTGTAAAAACTACCGTGGTATCAGCTTGCTTAGCATTGTGGGTAAACTGTATGCTAAGGTGTTAATTGAAAGAGTTATGGAAGAAACTGATGGAAAAATTTGGGATGTGCAAGCTGGATTTAGAAAGGGGATGGGGTGTACGGATCAAGTCTTTTCCATGCGCATGATAGCGGAGAAGTTTTTGGCTAAAAACCAGAAAGTTTTTTGTGCGTTCATGGACTTGAAAAAGGCTTATGACAGAGTGGACAGGAATGTGTTATGGCAAACACTGAACTCATTTGGGTTGAGCGCTGGCTTGATACAGGCATTAAGATCTCTTTATAGGGACTCTAGTGCTTGTGTCAGGATCAACGGGGTCTACTCGGACTGGTTTGGCATTCATAAAGGTGTCAGACAGGGATGTGTGGCTTCCCCGTGGCTGTTTAACTTATTTATGGACAGTTGTTTGCAAACTTTGAAAGTTGAAGAATGTGGGTTGAGAATGGGTGAGTCAACCGTCAAATGCCTTTTGTACGCCGATGATCAAGTCATATTTGCATCGTCGGCGGCCGAGTTGCAAATGATGGTTAATTTTATGAATTGGTCATTGAAAGAAAGGGGTATGAAAGTGAACGCAAGTAAGACGAAAGTGATGGTTTTTGAAAGAGAAGAAAGTAAAACTTTATGTGAAATAAGAATAGAAGGGGAGTTTATTGAGCAAGTGGATGAATTTGTATATTTGGGATGTTTATTTAGCAGGGATGGTAGATATGATAAGGATATAGAACGACGAGTGAACGCAGGAAATAGAGTGAATGGGGCTCTACACGCTATTATGAGGAGTCAGAATGTGTCAACTAAGGCACGTATGGCAATTCATAATGCTGTGTTAGTCCCTACTTTAATGTATGGTTGTGAAAGTTGGGTCTGGCAGAAGAAGCATGAGAGTAGAATAAATGCTGTAGAAATGCGTTCCTTAAGGAGTATGCTAGGGCTGAATCTGAATGACAGGGTGAGAAATAGTGTGATAAGAGAAAAGTGTGGTCTGCAAGATGACGTTGTGACAAGGATTAAGAAAGGAATGCTTCGGTGGTTTGGTCATGTATAAAGAATGAACGAGGAAAGAGTGACAAAGCAAATTTATGTTGCGGAAGTGAACGGCAGGGTCGGGAAGGGACGCCCTAGACGAAGGTTTATCGACCAAATCGGCGATACATTAAAAATGGGCCAGTTTAGGAGTACCCATAACCGACGAGCGTGTATGCGTAGATATATGGATGTAAAAGAGGCGAGAGAGGTGTGTCAGGATCGCGCCAAATGGAAGTCCGTAGTCTCTGCCTACCCCTCTGGGTGACAGGCGTGAGTGTTTATATTATAATATATATATATATATATATATATATATATATATATATATATATATATATATATATATATATTTATAAAAAAAATCTCAAACATTATGTTCTTTTAAACTTTTAAATTAAAAATGTGTGGTAATGCATTATTTTATCTGATTTTACTGCGCACGCACACATTTGTAAGGGTCGATCGGTAGATAAAAACGTTGTTGCACATAAATCACATTCAATTACTCAAATAACGGTATATCATTATATATTTGAACTTAAGTTTAAAATTTGACTACTCTTTGAAAAATAACCCTGACCTCAATATTATAATACAGTAGCAGATAACGATAAATGTTTCTTTTAAATATCTGTTGATTCAGTCCATCCATTACAGCCTTTGAAAGTCCCCTGTTGAATATAGGTCTACCTCATAGATCAACTTTTAAAATCCCCCCTATTTTGCAGTAGTTGCCATGCTTGGCAGGCTGGCTGCTAACTGCAATTTTGGATTATTTTGAGTTGTTATCAAAAAGATGCTGGGTTAAACTATAGACATAGGGTACTCGCGTACGGGAGTGGGAGGGGGAGGGGGGAGTGGGAGGGTTCAGGGGAAGCCTCCCCTACCCTTTCCCCCCTGCGGAAATGTATAGTTTATGAGTAATTTTTTTTTGTAAAATCCTAACCTCATTTTTTTAAACAGGAATATTGACACAAAGTTACTTCTGCAACGGCTTCGGCGCTGCGGGAAGTGTAGCCCCTTCGCCCTTACAGCGGGCGGGGGCTGCTTTCCTTCCACACCTACGGCTTTACAAAAACACTCTAGGGGTAGGGCAGACTAGACATAGTCATATTTGCGTTTCGTTATACGGAATTTTTAGTGAAATATATTTTTATTCTAATTAATTCAAAACGTATTTCCGACATTCAAAAACAGTGTAAAAGGTTCATGCTTAGCCCTGAAAAGCCTCCTAAACTGAAAACATAATTAAAATCAAGTACCGGATATCTATAGCCAACCCAGCGACTGTTGCTCATGTCCTGTTTCAGTTTCTCTCCGTCGCCTCTTACGACACCCACGGGAAGATATGGGGTAGTGGATATTCTTACACCGCACACACATTATATGATATAATAATTTAAAATTAAAAAATTTTGTTCAACCGACTTCAATATAAATTATTAAGAATAACTCAAAAACTATTGGTCAGACCTTCATCAAATTTACTCGTATATAGGACCACATGGAAAGTACCAGTTTTCAAATAAAAAAAGAATTATTGAAATCGGTTCACCCAGTAAGAAGTTATGAGTTAATACACATAAAAAACATACAGGCGAATTGAGTACCGGCTCCTTTTTGAAGTCGGTATAAAATGCTTATAGCTGATAATTTCAGATTGAAAATAATCTCAAATATCACAGAATACCAGCGTAAAATAGCAGCTTAACACTGCTGTGTTTCGTATGGTGAGTGACAACGCATCTGCATTTTGATTCTTTATTGAGGATAAATGTAGATGTCTATGGGTCACAGCGACCACTTACCATCAGGTGGACTGTATGCTCGTTCGTCACCCTATTATATATAAAATCTTTGAGACTTATGAAAACAAGTATTTTTAGTTTTTCTCAATTATTACGATATAATTAATACGTATAATGATGATAATAATGTGCACAAAAGTTACCAGATCCACAGAGAATCTAATAGCAGTGGTCCTAGTATGGCATCTAGAAGTAGCCAACTCCACAGTTTTGTTGGCGGCAGTTCGGCTTTTTCAATACCCGTCGCAGCTAATACTCCACCCATAGCCCACGCCATACAACCACAAGCGCAACCGACAACACCTGAAATAGTGATACAGTCGACTCTAATTTGACACTCGTTAATTTGAATCTCTCGATAATTTGAAATTTTTTCCCAGTCCCTGGAAAAATACTCGATAAATTGAATAAAATCAATATTAATTGGTCCCCTCGGTAATTAGAAGTTGAAGGTATAGTATCATGCCCGCCAACATGCATTAATTTGAAGTCTGAGCTTCCCTGTCGTTTATGGAGTGTTGAGTACAAGGAGAACCATCTTATAAGGGACGAAAAAGTGTCCTAATATTTACTGAAAATAGAGGTTCCAAAATCTACCACAATAGTGCTGCCGTCTGAAAAACTACGATATGAAGATAGCTGTTGTAAACGGAGTGAAGTCAGCTGAATTCAAATATTTAAAAAATTTTTTGACTAGAGTAGTTAGTAAAATGCCAGTATACAAAATCTCAACTATATACGTAGTACAAAACCAAGCGGATTGGTCGATCCTAGTTTATTTCTCCATCTTATTCTAATTTCTTTTGGAGCTTTTTTTTTTAATTTATCCTATGCTATTGCAGCGCCACCCTTATTGGACGCGTTTTTAGGGACACTTTCCTTATATAGAGATGGTCCTCCTTGTACTCTACACTCTATACTGTCGTTTGTTTACATACATGTACAGACCTGTCGATTGTTTACATAAATGAGGAAGACTTCTTTTCAAAATGAACATTTGTGAATAATTGTACAAATGTTTATTGTTGTTGTTTACTCGATTTTTTCCTCCCTCCCTCTTGGTTGTCTGAACTCCTGTTATTTTGAACTCTTGGTAATTTGAAAATTTTTTCTGGTCCCTTGAGTTTCAAATTATCGAGAGCTGTATGTACTTAAGTTGAAAAAAAAAACATCGCTGTTGGGCATAGGTAGTAAGTACATAAAAGTAAAAAGTTAATGCAATGAAACTGCGCCCACTTTCCCTAAAGGGGGTCGTTTCCGATACGGCAGAAAGGCCCTCCAGGCGAAAGCCAGTCCTACAGGTGGTGTTTAGTGGGTAGGCACTTCATAGTGAGTCCCACATAACCACGCAGCCGGCTGCGTGGTATGCTTGACGAGCATTCATCACCTCCCTCTCCCTTGCTTGTAGCCCCTTTCTTTGGGCACAAAAAAAATGTAATGAATTAAACTTTCATATTCTTGGTATAGAGTATATTTTTATTTATTTGTGATATAAAAACTAAATCGCCTACTTTGTGATTTATCCGCTATTTTCCTCATATCACAATACAATGTAACAATTCATCGAGTAACAATTTTTAATCTCATAATATATTTAAGAAAATTTGCTTTATGCCACCTTTCTCATATTTCCTAATCCCAGTATAATAATAACAACTTATTTCAGACCCAAAATACAGTTCATAACATTTTAGTAATTACCTTAACCTATGTTAGTTTTAAATTATTACACATACAATTATTAGTTACAATTATTTTCGGCATCCCATGACACCAGGCACGTGCAAGTACATAAGTATCCAGTGCCCTAGGATGGGACAATCAAATTTATCTCAGTATAGGTTTGAGGATAGAAGTTAATGGACTTACCAATTAGCAGAATAGAATTAATGCCCTCTCCTTTTCTCAATTCCTGGCGAAACAACAATAGATGCAATGCGTAAAAAAACGAAGAGCCTAATGCTGACAACACTGCTGTCCAATTAGTTTGATGGCTCTCAGATAAACCCAACACCACCTGCAAATGATAGATGATTCGTTCACAATTTCACGTATGTATTATTTACCCGTATTAGTTACTCGTGATTACCCCAGAAAATATAACAGTGTAATGACTAGGAAGACCCTATTTCTTAGTACATGATACATATGAAATAGAGTTGAGATTTAAGTCCGGCCGTCTTTGGAGGAACAGATCTCTACTAGTGTTGCCCAAATGCAAGAACAAGACGAGACTTAGCCAGTCTTGGTTGTGGTCTTGCGCCAATACACCTGATCTTAGTTTGGATATTGCGCCCCCAGTCTTGGTCTTGGTCTTGCATCAAGAGTGTCGCAAGTCTCGCAATTACCTATTAGCCTATTGCTATTTATTAAACGTTACTTTAGATCTTAGAACAACTTAACAGAGTACATTTTGAGCTTCAATTATCATAGCCATAGTAAAGACCAACCAAATTAATAAATGTCTAAACATTTAATGAGAAATTTGAAAAATCCACTAACACCGAGTGGAATTTGGATCCACGACCTAAGCGATCCGTGTCGATGCTCTAACCAACTGAGCTATCTACCGTGTCCTAGGCCACGGGAGGGAGTCTGTTTCTTAATAAAAGTTTACATTTAATAAGCTTACATGTGCTAAAACATGGTTAAAACATATAAAAAAAACCAATTAATGACATTAACTTGACTGTATTTTAAAGAACATTATCTGTCTAGAAAGAGATTGATAGACCCTCACCTTATATGAAATGGAATAAAAGACTATATAATATATACAATTTACCATTTATTTAAATAAAAAATGAAATACAATACAAATTAAATTACATAACAGTACACAATAGCTTTGACATTATTGTTACTTTATATTAATTATTTTGACCAAAAGTAACCATCTGGCTGACTCATCACTTAACCTATTTCTATGTTTTCTAATTACTTATGATTTGTTTAGAAAATAATCTCTCAGCAGGTATTGAAAGAAAATCACGAGCCATCTTTGATAAAGTCAGATATTCTGTCTCATGCATCCTCCACCACTCTAAAATGTCTTCCAAGCTGGCGGTTCTGGGTTTACTTAGGTACTCCTCCAACTTGTCAATAACTAAGCCTTGAAGACAAGATCAAGATCCAGATCCAGATGACGTCGAGGGACGTGCATACAGTTTCTCACAAGTCTATTACGTCTTCATCATCATCATATTCACATACTTTCTCTTCATTTCTTGGTGATTCTAGTGATTTATTCACTGAGTGTAGACTTTTATATTCTTTATAAAGTTCATTAAACTTGCGCAGGCTCTGTTTTAATTTGCTTACCCCATAATGACATGTCAAAAGTCTGATCCTTATGCCTTGGGTCTAAAATTAAAGGTACAATAAATCAAGTTGCTCTTCTTATAATGTTTAAGCATTTTGTCTCGAGCTGCTTGGAAAACCCAGCCTTTCATCCACTTCGGATCGATTAGATTTCTCATCTAATTGTTTTACCATAGATTCAATTTTATCGAGCAAGATATTGAATGATACAATGACTAGCGGTAATGTAAAATGTTTTTCTCCACCAAGTTTCGTTGATAAAAGTTTAAAGTTTATTAGAAACTTATGTATTTTTCGAGTATTTGCCATTCACTATCTGTGATTTGAAAATCATTCAATTCGGTGACAGAAGTGCACAATACGTTAATGCCAGTTCTCACTTTTACCAACCATAACCATATCCATTCATATCATGTGTGGAATTTCATCTCAATGGACAGTCGAGTATGGGATTCAGATTTGATGGCACGCCAGCTGCTTCACAAGCAGACTGAAACTTCCTCTTCAATATCTCACTTCTTTTTATTTTACTGGAAATACTGCGTAATGTTGTTATAGCTGTACGTGAGTCAGCAATATTTGGCGCATATTCTTCATCTTCCTTAGTTTCGTCTCCATAGTCTTCATACTGCTGTTCCTGTCAGTTTCACTGTGTAATGCTAAGATCTATAATAAATCTTGTACATCAAGGTTCAAAATGTGAGCAACGCAGCGGAAATGTTGATTGTCTGAATCAAAGTGTGGCAGCTGTTTGTCCAGTTTATACATAAATTTGGTATTTGCAGTTGCGTTGTCGACTATGATAGCCTGTATTTTATCAATTCTGTCATATTCCAATAAGCATTCGTGAAAAATCGTTGCAATATCTTCCCCAGTATGTAGACCGCGTGATGGTATAAAATCAAGGACTACAGATCGATACTTCCATTCATTGTCTATATAATGAATAGTGACCCCGTAGTAACTCCTACCAGCAATTGACGTCCTTCCATCAATGGTTAAATAACATTTTACATGAAAATTGTTGTAGTCGTTTCTTAAGATTCAATTGAAGATCTTCAAATCACTCTTTGACCTTCCTTCTAAGTGTGGACCTTTTAGGAAACACCATATTTGGGCAAATCGATCGAAAATATACTTGTGTAGCTTCGTCATCGAAATATGAGAAGGGCAGATATTTTTTCACCATCAACCATCAACTATAGCTGTCATGATGTTGTCACTGCTATTTTCAGACTGAAATAAAACAGTAAATCATGTGTCTCGCAGATTACAAAAACAAATGAAAATATGGGTGGATTATAAATACATATTTAACACTCTAATCTATATATTATATAAAAGCGAAATATCACTCACTACTGACTATCACAATATCTCAGGAACTATAAAACATAAAAACTTGAAGTTTGGAAGGTAGGTTCCTTTTATGGCGTAGAGGTCAGCAAAGAAACGGTTTTGACAAAATCCACCCCTAAGGGAGTGAAATGAGATTTGGAAGTTTGTATGAAAATCCTACATTTTGAAGTTAGAGACATGAAAATCGGCATTTAAGTTATAAATTCTAAATAATAATAGCCTGTATAAGTAATTTTCCAAAAAATCGCCCAAGAGTGGGTGAAATGTGGGATGAAAATTTGTATAAAAGTCCTATATTTTTGAAGGTAAAGACTTGAAAATCGACATTCAGGTTATTAGTTTTAAGTAATCATAACCTCTATAAGCAATTTTACGAAAATCCACACCAAACAAGGTGAAATCGGGTTGGAAGTTTACATGAAAGTTTTACGTTTTTGGAGTTAGAGTCACGAAAATCGGCATTAGTGATATTTTCGCTATGTATGTTTATAGTATTGTACGTAAAGCGCATAAGTCCAATTTTCCAAATTTTTTTATATATTTTATTGCGTCTGTCCTTAAGTGTATACCCGAACTACTCCCTGAAACGACACTCAATCCTAACCGCAAGACGCAAGAGTCTCGCAGGCTTAGTCTTGTTCTTGCTCAAATCGTGCACGGTCAGTCTTGGTCCTGCTAAAATGCAAGAACAAGACCAAAAAGATTTTGGGCAACACTAATCTCTACATGCATGTGTACACTGACAGCATTTATGCCGCGGTGTTCTAAGTCATGCCATGAAATCGCGCTCACACTGAGCTAGTCAGAACAGTTTTAACGTTTAAATATATTATGCTAATTGTATATGCGTATTATAAATGCAAGAGAGATATTTTTTTTTATAGGATAACGGTGACAAACGAGCACACAGTCCACCTGATAGTAAGTGGTTGCTGTGGCGCATAGACATCTACATCTATCCTCTATTACAAATCAAAATGCAGATGCGTTTTCACCTGTGAGGACTAGGATGGAGTGCCTCATTTCCAGTAAAAAGGGCCTCCGGCCACCTGCACTCACCAAGCGAAACGCAGAGTTAAACCTCTACTTCACGCTGGTATTCTGTGAGGTCGTGGTACCACCCCGGTTTGAGCCGGCCCATCCATGCGACAGCAAAAGCTGTCGCGTGGCTCTACCACTGTTATTCAACAAAACAGAAGAATTTTGGTAAATAACCGTTAGACGCAAACATTTTAAGCGGCCCTACCTACCTCGGCATACCGAGTGCTGCCTCGGCATCCCGAAAATGTTCAGCTCGGGGAGCGTGACAACTTTGATAGCGTGATTTAGGCTTCACTGTGTTTTAGTTGTGGCGCGATGACAGCGCCGCCACATCCTATTCACTACCTAAAAATCTCTCGCCATGCTATCCTGTCAGTGGGCGCCGGGCTTTACTCTCACCACAGATTAAATAATAACAAATAACAGAAAATGTTTCTTCGTATTTTGTTTGTATAAAATTGAAGCAAAATCTCTTTGGTTGTAATGTTTGTATCTGGCTGTTGTTAATATTGTTGCGCGCCACCAGTAATGTCTTGTACATGGCAACACTAGTCACCACTAGCGCCCTCTAGTGTCGAGTAGCAGAACTAGGAGAGTCAAGATCCTTCTAGAAATTTCGGGACCGATATGTACTCGAACATTCTAGATGTCGCTACACTAGAAGGTTCTGGAAACTATCTGAGGCCCTATATAAGGCCGGTATAGACCACGACCGGCATAAGAAGCTTTAAACAGCTGGTTGCCAGTCCCCAAAGGCGGTTTTAGAGGGTATTACTTAGGTTCCCCCGGTAGGCAGTGAGTCCCTCATAACCACGATAGACCGGCTGTCGTGGTATGCGTAATGCATTTCCGCCTCCCTACATAAAGGGTAGCCCTTTTCCAATTGCTTCGGGCGCAAAAAAAAAAACGACCGAGTCAGTATTGAATTGGCGATACAAGAGAGTACTTCGAAGCGAAATAACTGCGACCGAAAGTGATCAGTAGTACAATTGTGTTTTATTATTAGTGTGGTTTTAAATTGTAATTAGTGTTCTGTAATTAAAGTGTCAATTTTGGTAATTCACTTGGCAGTTTTAGTTGTCTCGAACCCCAAGCTCGTAACAATTGGTGTCAGAAGTGGGATCAAATCATGTCGATTTTACCAAAGGACGACATGGAGGGTATCCGTACTCGAAGTCAACGCCAGCTGGAGACGGACCAGAGACGATTTGGTAATGCAACGCCGCAAACATCGGAGGGCCAGCTGCTGAACACGGAGGCAGTGCTCTGATGATGATGCTGCAGGAACAGGCTCGC